TACACTGCTCTCTAATAGGGCATTTCCCAATCATGGAGTCATTTATGTTGGAAAAGACCCTTAAGATCATGTCCAACCGTTCTTCTAATGCAATCTTAAATTCACTCATAGCTGATTCTGAAATTGTCCCACCTTACTGCCTCTAAATGTATTTTCACCACCTTACACACCCTTTCCTTGTCTCTCCCTTGACTTTGGGCCTTTTCCTCTCTCTAGCCGAGTTCTCAAGCAAAAGAGGCTTCTGCAACTTGTGAAGCTGCTGGAAACTCCAGCAAAACTGGACCAAGGTGCAGAACTGGAGCTAAGCTGGGATGGGAACCAGGAGAACTGGGGAAGTCAAAGGGAACAGCAATGGGCGAGGGATCCTAGTACAGGAATTCAGGCTATGTTGTTTGAGTATTAACTTATGGGTGTGAAACCAATAAAAATCAGGCTGCATGTGCTTGCAAAATACTGTTTTATTTAAAGCTGCTTCTTCCATCTGAAATGATTCTCCTTCCTCTGCACCAAGCATTTTCTGCCTTAAACCTCAGCATAAACCAAATTCTGTTTGCTTCTCTGGTCACCACTCCTGTCCTCTGCACTCACTGTCTCATTTTGCCCCCAGCACTATTTAAAATGTCAGAACTCATAACGTTCGCCACCGTCAGAATAACGCAGACGTAGTTTTAAATCTGATCCCAGCACGTCCTGTCTTTGCCTGCCCTCATCTGTTACTGCCCTGCTCCACGTCTGGCTGCTGCAGATTAACCTTTCAAAGCCTGGAAGTATTCACAACGTCACTGTGCTTAGGTAGCCACTTAAGTAAACCCCACAAAATTCATATTACTCAGTGTTTTGCTGGTTGTATTTGTAACAGATGGGTTAAGAGAGCTCATAGCCAGAGAAGGACATAGGAGAGCACATCCCTAAGCACCGCAGAGACAGCCCCTGTCGAGGCAGTGCCACATGGAGTTACATTAACAAGGCATCACCTATGATTTCCTGGACTTCGTTCTGATTCATCGCCGGCTTGGCCGCTTTGTCCTTCGAGGAGGAGGACTTGGCGCCCGTCAGGCTGTGCGTGGCCATGTACTCGTGCGTGTAAAGCGCCTGCATCAAGTCGTTTATGAACTTCTGAGGTTTGCTCTTGTTGCACAGTGCAATCTGCCACTTCTCGATCTTGAACTGCAAGAGACAACCGGTCATGCACGTAACTAGTGCAGTTCTCCGGAAATATCGCACAGCATTACCCCCGAAATGATCCATTACCCCTGAAATGGATCTGAAATGGATCCTGAATGGACAGGAACAGATTTCTGTGGTTTTGAGGACCCCATGACTTGGTACAGGAATGTGAATGTAAGCGGTGAATGCAGAAGCTGGAGTCATTCTTTCAGTTGGGTCTTGACATTTTTCACGTACAGCCTCTGCGCCTGCAATTTCTCAGTTATGTTCTGTCGTAATTAGGGAGCACAAGAGAACACCTTTATTCACTATATCCCCATTTCTACTTAACTGCTGGCCAGTGTCTGGAGCAAGACCAGAAACACCCCACTCTCCATTTCCTTATTATCAGTTAAACAGCCCGCTGGTATTTTCCTTGGCTTATCTCTGAAGCGCTGCCATTCCCCATTAGGCTGGAAGTCGTCTGTCGTGGCACCCATGATGAGACAATTGGCCTTGAACTTTATCACTCCACACTGCTGTTAAACCATGCTGCTGGTTTTAGCAAGTTCAGGGACGGAGAAGAGACTGAGCTGGAATGTGAAATCACTCAATAGAAAATCAGTTCTGTTGAGCTCAGACCAGGACAGATGTCCCTGGATCTCAGCATTTTCCTCGCACATCCTCATTCTTCCCTAAGTCCCAGATGTGCAACACCACTGAAATCCAAGCGAGTTTGGGAGTGTAGCAGCACACTAAGTGTTTCCCATGGAAAGAGCTCATTAGTCACCTCACCAACTGAATGATGACAAAATGATGCTTACCAATGCTTATTTTTGATATTTCATACGATATAACAGTAAAGTCTGTACTGTATCAAGTTGTATTTTTGATGCCTTTTCGCTCACCTGTTTTTCAGCCTGATCCTCGTCCTCCACATTCAGAGTCCCTGGCGAGCTGGCGTTGCTGTGCAGCGCTGTGTATGAATCCACTAACGAACTGTTCGATGCTTTCCAAAGCGCGTGGGGGTGCAGAGCGGACGCAGACGCTGTCACTCCCCCCTTGAGCAGCGCTTCGGCCATCCCGACCAGCTCCTCAAACTGGGTGACTGCCTGCGGCAACACTGACACCAAACACACAGTGATGGGCAAGTAATTGGAGCCTTCGGACTCTCATTATCACAGAATCACAGAATATGAGGAG